CCTGTGAGTTACCTATTTAAACACTCTGTTCAACTAACCTATTCCTGTTACAAACTAATGTCACTATAACACCTAACCGCATATGCTAGCTAGCTCGTTACAGATCCATTTTTCAACACTAGCTTAGGTCTTCTTAGGATGCATGTTGCTTATTATATTGTGAGCATGCAGAGCTCCAGTTAACCTTGAAGCAAACCTATTAGAGTGGCCTGTGCCTATTTCACAGACTCACCTAGCTTAGACCCTTGTAGATGTTCATACAACCCTAGTTTTTTCCATGGCTTTCCACCAGTTTTCTGTATCTATCTTTTCGGATGTTTTATGAGGCAGATCCTCCTAATCCAGTTAGCTACCAAGCCAAGTTGGTATTACTGATTCTCCCTGTAGAATGGATTTATGCGCACCTAACTTGATCTGCATCTTTGACAATAGTTTCCTTTCTGGATCAAGCATTAGCTGGTATGACTATCGAAAGCTGTACTACTTCACCAACTCAGGATTTTTACCATGCAGGTCCCCTGCTCGTATATCATTGTATGCGCATATCATCCTGTGATTAACTGCCGCCACACAATGTTTTTTCCTATCAAGATTTATTCGTATGCACATATCATCTTGTGATTAACTGCCGCCACACTACTAATGTCCGATTGACTTGGTGCAACTTAACTTACAGAGTTACAATCTCAGAAATAGACAGAGTTTACTATAAGTTGGGTACAAAGGTCTGAGTAATTATTCAAATTCGTCGATAGTAGGATTTGAACCCCAGATCTCTTGCATAGCAGTCTGGCAACCTAACTACTATACTAAGATCGCCAGACCTATTTCAAAATTTATTATTATTCGCGATTAAAATAAAGTATATTTAATATTTTTAAAGAATCTTCACTTAAATTGTGTCTATTATCTTCTAAAACATTATTGTAAACAGAAAAAATTCTTTCTACAGCACAAGAAGAAATAGGCAACCAAATGTAAATTAAAGCTATCTTATTTAAAAGTAGAAGTGTGGTAGAAATTTTATTCCAAAATTTACCTAAATTATCAAAATCTATTAAAGCTAAATCTAAATTATAATATAAAGCCTATTCCTGTAATAAAGTATTCGAAGGATTTTTTAATTCAGAAATTTGAGTTGAATAATTTTGAATATTACGACTACTAATAGTTAATTTTACAAATTGGGAATCAAAAACTTATATAGCAAAAAAAAGAGAATAGGAAAGATGTTGCAAAAAATGATCATTAAATTTTGTGTATACTATAGCAAAAGCTATTTAAAATATGTTGTTAAAAAGGCTAGAATCTGATTCAAGTTTTGTAATGCATAAATTTACTTCATTTTCAAAATTAGTATTAGTTTCTCCATTCTTTAAAAAAATATCAAGTTGTAAAATTCAATTTTCAACATATGGAATTACAGGCTTATTTTCTTTTTGAAAAAAGTTTAGATCAGAAATAAATTTTTCAGCATAATACTGAATAAAAGTCAAATAAATTTGTACTTGCCTATTTTCATCACAATCATTAAAAATATTAACAATATTTTTGATTGTTTCAGATAATTCAATTTGAAGCTCCTCATTATAAAATTCCTGAATATAATCTAAATAATCATAAATATAAAATGCTACTTTAAACTATGTATTCCAATAAGTTGCAACTGGTAATAGCATAAACTTTAGCAGGAGGTTTGATTGTTGATTTAGTCCATACTGCATTAGGCAATTCATATAACGGGATCTATAAGCTTTGGAATATACAAATATTTTTTTTATATTGGAAACTAGTACTTTAATGATATCGAAGTGAAAAATCGATATCCATGATTCACTAAAATAATAAATACAAATTTATTAA